CCAGATCCAGTGACTTCAGTGTTAGGGGAAAATGTCTTCCTAGCTATGGTCTGCTTTGATGCTATAATAGGGGAGATGGGCTCTGCTTCTCAAGATGTGTGAAAAGAACAAGGGGAAATTCTGGAGGTCCCTCCCATCTAGACTCTCTTCATCTAAGACCTTTACACTGAAAATCCAGTAGATCCGAAATAACTCATTCCAGATAACTGCACATGCATTCATGTCGTGAGATATAAATATAACAGAAACAAAATGCATCTTGCCCGCCTTCCCCCTGCTCTTTTCTTTTAAATCACCTAATTTTGGAGGCACTTCTATTAACTCTGCAAATTAAGAATGAGCACAGTGCGAAAGGAGGAATATTATTGCAGTGGTCGAAGGTATTCTCTCGCCATATGTCAGGGTTCCCCTTAAAGTAGGTCATTCAATTCCCAAAATGAATGAAGCTTGGGCAGGTTTTCCCTTCTCCTGTGTGAGCGAATGAGTGTGGGTGAGGTGTGTATGTATTCTGTGTGCTGTGATAAAATCTGGGCTTGCAGCATGGAGGGTGGGCTCAGGAAGCCTGTCACAAGCTGTTGTTGGACTACAACTCCCATCATCCCTTGTAATCAGGATTAGTGGTCAAGGGTGATGGGAATTTTAGTCCAACAACACCCAGAGGCCCAGGTCTAAGAAACACTGTGTCTACCACTTGAGCTATGGCCATTTCCCAAACAAAATGGCTGACACCCCTTCCTTTCCTTTCAGGTGTTGAACCTGTTCCTTGCCTTGCTGTTGAGCTCCTTCAGTGCCGATAACCTTTCTGCTCCGGATGAAGACGGGGAGATGAACAACCTGCAGCTCGCCTTTGCGCGCATCAACAGGGGGCTCAATTACGCCAAACGTGCCATGTGGGATTTCTGTTGCAGCGTCCTCAGGCAGCCGAAGGCGACGGCTGAAAAAAAAGCCATGATGAAGCTTGCGGCTCAGAACCCAGCCGTCGTCCACAACTGCGTCAACAACCACACGGGCATGGAGTTTGGAAAGGAAGAGGACCACCACAAGGAGAACCACACCGCTAGCGACGGGGTTGAGGGAAACCGGGAGAAGCAGCAGGTGGACCACAACGATGACTTCATGACCAACCCAAACTTGTCCATTTGTGTCCCCATTGCTCCGGGAGAGTCTGACATTGAGGATGATGAGCAGAGCACATTTACGGAAACGGACCAGGTAAGCTGCTCATCCTGCAGTAATTCTTTGATGTGGTGAACAACTTTGGGGGGCCTGGAGACAGTGTGGTAGACACTGCTACTGTAGCACATGCTATGTGGCTTCCCACACTGTGGGGTGGAGGTTTTCTCTTGTCTTCTTAGCCCTGTTGCTAGCAGTGGTGCAGCACTGGGGGAAGAGGCTGCAGTTTGATCCTTAATCTATGGTAGCCTCACAAACCCAGGCCTACGCCACAAGTGGCACCCAAACTGCAGGTTAGACATCCATGGGTACGACCATAGCATCTCCCTTGGCTTGGCTTGGTATTATAGTATATTTGAAGTATATTTGAAGATGTAGCTGGATATAATTTTTAAGGCCAACTCCTCTTTGTATATTACTGGGCTTGCGCCTCCTGGTCACACAACAGGGATGTTTTTCTCTATTGAAATGGAGCTGAATAATGTGTTTGAGCTTTTTGGTATGCAGAGAGTTCAGTGTATGGCTTGTGAATTTGGCTAAAGGGTAGACTTTGCATGTTTCAGTTGCACACACAGAGAGATGCTTGTAGAGTAAGAAAATAATGGTGTTTATTATAGGAAACACATATCTCGAGTAGAAAAAGTTTCTTGTTTTAAGCTAGCTAGCTAATTTGGAGAAGGGAAGGGCAGCTATGCTTCTTCCTTTGTTTCTAGAGGATAGAGCCAAGGTCCCAGAGAGAGGTGTGAGGAGGAGGAGGAGATTGCAAACAGGATGAAACCTAAGATGTATCAGTCTAACTGTAAAGACACAGGGAGGTCAGCAAAGAGACCGAAGGTCTAGGAATCTGGAGGTCCCTTGGTCTATCTGTTTTAATTCCATGCAAACTCCTCTCAGCAAGCTTCCGACAATGTCTGTGGCCTACAAGGACATATCACTACACCCCTGGCTTGATTTTAGCTGTCATTCCCTCTCCCTAGGGAATCATGGGGACTGTAGTTCTGTGAGGGATCTAGGGATCCCAAGCAGAAAATTCTCAGTATCCGCATGAAACTGCAATACCTAGGATTCTTTAGATAAAGCCATGACAGTAAAAAGCACACAAAACTGGTGCAGCTTTGTAGAATAGATGTATTCTAAACGTCATTTCTGCCTGCGTTGTGGTTTCCTTCAAAGCCTTGGCAAAGTAGAGATGGGCTTTTATTCATGCTTTGGAGTTTCGAGCGGGGAGAATGTCATAGTGTGACTCAGTTTCTTATACCCTGTGAATGCTTTTATGTTTGAAAGTGATTACTGTAAAAATGGCTGTCGATAATTCAAGTTATAAAATGGAAGAGAGCCTCTTTGTAAGAAGGTTGTAAAGTTTCTTGGTTCGATCAGCCTCGCCAAGGCCTCAGTATTGTGTATCTCTTTCTGAGGAATCCCAGAGACTGAAATGTTACTTCGGGATGATGTGTAGGGAAAGGGGGCAGCATGTTTCACAGGAAGACAAGGCAGTAAATGAGTTCCTTATCTTGTCTCCATTTTTGACATTTTAATGTGCTTTTGATGTCTTTGGGGCAGTTGAATAGGGTTTTTATCTTGTGTACTGAAGTGGGTGTTTTCATGGCATTCCCATTTTTCATACAGAGATTGTGTGTGTGTGTGTGTGTGAGAGAGAGAGAGAGAGAGACTGAATGTGTGTGAAACATTGCCAGTTGTGAGCATGTAAAAGACTGAGGAGAGGACACCGGAAGACTCCCTTGTCTAACACTTTCTCTCAGGCCTTAGGGTCATGGTTGTGGGAAATTTTGAATTGATCAACGACTGAAAGGGCTAGCGGCATTTGGTCTGCTCACAAACTCCTGTCGGAACCAAAACTCTCTGGTCAAGACCTGTTTCCTCCAGCAACAGAAGCTTTTATGGAGCCCTCTGCATATTGTGCCCTCTTCACACCTTTTCTTCTGCTAGGAAGCGTCTGGCTGTGCCGCATAATAAAGGGAAGCAAAACTTCTGTTCCATTTCCCCCACACTTCCCCATTTCCCATCAAATTTCCTTCCTCTTCTCCAGCTGCCGCCAACCTGCAACCCTATGCATAGGGGAAAGCGGATGAGGGGTACAACAGAATGATGAGATGGGAAAGGGGTTCTCACTGAGAAGCCTGTGGGGTCTGGAATCAATGTGCAGGTCATCAGCTGCCTAGCCCAAGGATTTTCAATTCTTTTGTTTTCCTTTTTTTAATTCTTCATATTTGGGGGTCATCTCCATCAGGACCTTTGCGTACTGCAGGGAAGAGAGCACCTTAGGGTCCTTGCACAGTTTTCACATAGCAGTGACCCAACAGATCTAACTAGGTGCCCTGTATGAACTACAGTGGTACCTCGGGTTACATACGCTTCAGGTTACATACGCTTCAGGTTACAGACTCTGCTAACCCAGAAATAGTGCTTCAGGTTAAGAACTTTGCTTCAGGATGAGAACAGAAATCTTGCTCCGGCAGCGCAGCAGCAGCAGGAGGCCCCATTAGCTAAAGTGGTGCTTCAGGTTAAGAACAGTTTCAGGTTAAGTACGGACCTCTGGAACGAATTAAGTACTTAACCCGAGGTACCACTGTATTGACATTAGGCAGGTCCCCTTGCTATTTTGTTTTAGACACCAGCTGAAAACTTTAAAAAACAAACAAACCAGCAAACCTATCCCAGCATATAATTTAGTTACTATTTTCTGTCTGTCTGACTTTCTGTGAATTGTTTTGAGGGCTGTGTTTTATCTTCAATGTTGTCCTGTGCATCAGTTAGAAATCTCTGTAAGCAGTTAATAAATCTTTCCAGAGAAAAAATGATAAACTGAGAGTGCCAAACAAACACCAGAAAGTCACAAATGATACTTGGCTTCTATTCCGTTTATGATCCTTTCCACCATGGAGCTTCTGCTGAACTTGTCCATCTGGGTCCCATTGCAGGGAACCTCTGATGAATCCAAGGGAGTACAGTTTGAAGACTGCTATCCTAAATTCTACAGTAATGGATTACCATAAATTATGCAGCTTTGGGCTTGATTTCTTACAGCTTGCAATCCACACAGATTCAGAGGCCCTTGATCAAATCCTTTATCTGGGTTCAACTGGAGTCCATTTCCTCCTCCACCCAGTCTTTGTGAAGAACATTCCAAAAGCTGTGCATATCTAATTATTATTCCTCTTGAAGGACTTATTCCATCTGGAGGAATAATTAAGCAAATGTGCATAATTTAGACCTAGACTCACAAAAATAGACAGGACAATACTGATGTTTTCAGTGCTGCACCAGTGGGGTTTTTGTTGACATTATTTCTCCATCCCTTAAGCAAATGTTGCTGCGACCTTACAAGTCCTCATCTGAGTGGTTCCTCGCCATTTTCACGCTGCGCCTCCAAATATTTAGTTAGTGGTGGCGGCTTGATGATGTCGCAGATGCAGTGTGCAATCAGGTTCATTGAAGAATGAGATCAGTTGGGTTGATATCTTTCCTAAGCATGTAGAGTCCACCTGATAGAAAAGCCTTGCAAATAGGTTTGGAAATGTTTCCAGCCCTGAAAATATTTTACTTGAATACTTGACTACCCACACCTGTATTAACCACTTTTGACCTAGAACTTGCCGGCTCACGTAAGTGGTTTTTAACAGTCTCCGTCCACAGAATGTCCTCCCACGAGGACAGCATTGCTGGATCAGTACAAAGGTCCGTCTTGTTCACTATAGGAGCAACTGCAACTGGGTAGGGTGCCAGCTTTGCATGCAAAAAGCTCTTGATTCATAGAATTGTAGAGTTGGAAGGTCCTCTATTCTATGCCCTGCAGTGTAGGAATATTTTGCCCAACGTGGGGCTTGAACCCACAATCCTGAGATTAAGTGTCTCATGCTTTACTGACTGAGCTTTCCCAGGTCCACAGCATCCGTCTCCACCATCTCCAGGTAGAGGTGGGGTGGGGACCCTGTCTGAAGCTCAGGAGGACCAATGTCCATCATCTGATAATCCCCTACTGTTAATGATTTCTTCCCTTTCTAACATCCACCACCACCTCCTTTCCCTCAGAATAGCTATTGCAGGAGACTCTTTGTCAAGGGAAGCCCAGTGGCTTTGGTTGTGTTCACCTCATCTAACTAATATTCCTGATCAGACAGAATCCACATGCCTGAGGAGCTGGCTTGCATCTCAACTATTTTCTTTTAAACACTTCTTTTTTTAAGTTGGTTCTGGGAGTTGGAGCATGTTGTCTGGGTAAAGAAAGCTCATTCTTTCCACTCATCAGTTGTCCCAAGCTCATTGATCGTTGGCCAATGCACATTTTCTGTACGGCATTAATTAATTCTTCCCAACCTTCAGCAGTTGGTTTTCTTGGTAGTTCTGCGTCTGTCTGATCAAAGAAACGAATCTTAGTTCTTGATTGCTCGTGCTTGATTAACTTTGTTTGTTTTTGTATGGCTCCATTAGCAGATTTACTTGTGTTTAGTTCCTGGCAGTGGGAAGAGGCAGGCGCAGAGCCATCTCACAGAACTGCAGGAGGAGAAAGAAGTGTTATCAGAACAGAGAGCAGGAAGTGTTTGTTTGTTTGTTTGTTTGTTTGTTTGTTTTTGTTTGTTTGTTTGTTTGCTGAAAGTATTTACCTTCTGCTCTAAAAGGCATAAAAGAAAAACTGTTTTCAAAACAGCCACAGCAGCACTCTGTCCAATACAGCGGAAAGAGGGCTCTAGGTTACAACAAACCTGAAAGGTGACAGAAAAAAGACTGGGTTAGATGAAAAGGTCCTTTCAGCTGCCACCACCACAACAAATAGATGCTAGGAAAGTTTCCTTGGGGAGGGCATTTCAGAACAGAAGGAGCCCCGGTGGAAAATGTCCTTTCCTCCATCACTGGGTTCCTTACTTCAAAGGCAGGAGAATGCAGAGCAGACCATCTTAGGATGATCTTAATGTCCAGGCATATTTGCGTGGGAGACGCTGGTTCTGCAGTTACCCAGGTTTTCAGCTGTTCAGCACGTAAAAGGAAAGAACTGTCATTTGGGAGAGTGCTTGGAAACAGGCTGGTATCCAGGGTAACTGTTTCAAACCTGTCATGATGTGCTCCCTTCCACTTGCCCTATTAGAATGGTAGCTGCCGTGTATTGTAGTAGCTGAAGTTTTGGGCTAGTCTTCAAGGGCAGCTCCTCTTGCAATGCATCACAGTAGTCCCATGTTACTGGAGCACAGGTAACTGTGGGAATGCTATCTCTGTCTAGAAGAGGATACAGATAACTTGCCAACCTTAACTAGTGGAAAATGCTCCAGGCCATGAAAAGCCCCATAGACGCCTCCAAATTTTGTGATGCAGGTTCACTTATTTTCAAAGATTTCAGCCTGATGGCAACATGCCAGTAGCAGGAGAGGGCCAGAGGCAAAAGTGAGCAGAGCAATAGATGTGAGTCTTACCTTTGTACCATAGGGAATAATAATAATAATAATAATAATAATAATAATAATAATATTTATACCCCGCCCATCTGGCTGGGTTTCCCCAGCCACTCTGGGCGGCTTCCAACAGAACACTAAAATACAATAACCTATTAAACATTAAAAGCTTCCCTAAACAGGACTGCCTTCAGATGTCTTCTAAAAGTCTGGTAGTTGTTTTTCTCTTTGACATCTGGTGGGAGGGCGTTCCACAGGGCGGGTGCCACCACCGAGAAGGCCCTCTGCCTGGTTCCCTGTAACTTGGCTTCTCGCAGTGAGGGAACTGCCAGAAGGCCCTTGGCACTGGACCTCAGTGTCTGGGCAGAACAATGGGAGTGGAGACGCTCCTTCAGATATACTGGACAGAGGCCGTTTAGGGCTTGAAAGGTCAGCACCAACACTTTGAATTGTGCTCGGAAACGTACTGGGAGCCACCTAGAGAATTTGGTGTAGGAGGTGTCTCGTAGATATGATAATAGACTGGTGTCGTGCTTAAGAGTGCTGAACCTGGGAGACAAGGGTTCAAATCCCCACTCAGCCATGAGGCTCACAGGGAGGGGGGATAGTAACACAATTTTCAAAAATGCAATTATCAATGTCTTTTTAAAGGGCATCTCCAGATGATCTGTATACAGTGGTACCTTGGGTTAAGAATGGGGCAGCAGGACAGCTTTGGGGAGGGAATGTCCTCTTGCCCATTGCTACCCCCTGGAGTTGTCCTTGCCCTGCTTCCTTTGCTAGGTTTGCCTCCTCCATTTGTTTCTTGGTCTGTTTCCCTGACCTGCCTAGCTGTATCCTGAATCGCCCTCAGCTGCCCCATCTGACCCACAAAGCCCCCTGCCACCCCACCTGGCTCCTAGGAGGCTGGACCTCTGCCCAAAAATACCAGAGAGCAGAAAAAGCAGAGATCGTTTTCAAAGAAAAGGCAAAGACATAAAGACAGAATGGGAATACATGTTGATATAAAAAATCCTTATAGTCAGTCAATCTACCTATAATCTATTCAGCTGATATTTAGGCTTCACAAGATGACAACTGCACTGGCTCTCTGCATCACTTCCCTCTGTGGGTTGAATTTGCTGTCGTTCACCCAAGAAACACGGCAAAGGCAGCAGATGGGTCAGTGTTCCTTAATGAATATCCGTGTCTGACATCCATCACAGGGGAACCCACCATTCTGCCCCCAGATTTTTTCCTTGGGGGGGATTCCTGTAATGAAGTAGATTTGTCTCGGGAGTCGCTGCTGATATAAATCAGGCAAAAGGAACTCGGATACATGCGACGGCAAGTCCGGAGCAAAAAAGAACCATTCCCTCCACACGCACAGGAACCCATCTCATAACAAGGCCGCTTGCCAATGCGATTAACCTATTGGGCTGGGAGAGAACTCGGAATGTTGACATACTTATTTCTGCATTTCCCCAAAGTGCAGTTAACGTAATGGATCCAATACCAAAGTCCACTGAAGAGCCGAGCAGTCAGTGAAAAGCGTGGGGCCTTGCATGATTCATCTTTGTGTAGGATCACTTGAGGCGACTGATTAAAGCAGTTATTGTATTCGTTTCTTACTATGTTATGCATGATTGTTTTCATTTTTTAAAGTGCCCTGTGATCCTCAGATGAACGGCAGCATAGAATTATTATTATTATTATTATTATTATTATTATTATTATTATTATTAGTTCTCCCACTACCTTGCCACCAAAGACTCGGGTGGAAGATTGTTGTGTTTGGGAGACCTTTGCCTTGGGGTTTCTTAGTCAGTGGGTCTCTGTGTGGGGAGCACAACATGGCTGTCAAAAGTGCTACGGATCTCAACCTGCAAACTGAAACTGCTTGTTTTGTTACCCAGGGAGAAAAACCAATCCTAGGATATGCAATCTGACACAAAATTTGTATTACAACTTCCTTCCAAACACATAATTCAAGGGAAGACAATGCTTCGTACCCTCAGTATGAATTGCCTTTTGTGTTGATGCCAGATAACTCATCAGATTAGATTAAGTGAGGAGCCACAAAGCCAATTCAAAGTGAGGACAGTGTTCCATTGCCTGAATCTGAATTGGCTTCACAAAGTTGCCACATTGCCAGATCTGGTTAGCTATGTGCCATCACATTTATTATTGCCAGTAGTACATGTGAAAAAGATCTAGGGATCTTAAGTAGGCCACAAGCTTAACAAGTCAGTAGTGTGATGCAGCAGCAAATCAACCTACTGCTACTCTATAGGCTGCATCAACAGAAGTATAGTGTCCCGATCAAGGGAAGTAATAGTACCGCTCTGTTCTGCCTTGGTCTGACCCCACCTGGAGTACTATGTCCAGTTCTGGGTGCCACAATTTAAGAAGGAGATTCGCAAGTTGGAACATGTGCACAAGAGGGCAACCAAGATTATCAAGGGTCTGAAAACAAAACATTATGAGGAATGGTTGAGGGAGATGAGTATGTTTAGCCTGGTAAAGAGGAGATTGAAAGGAGATGTGGTAGCCATCTTCAAATATCCATCTCACATGGAAGATGGAGAAAGCTTGTATTCTCCTGCTCTGGAAGGTAGGACCTTAACCGATGGTTTCAAGTTACAAGAAAGGAGATTCCAACTAAACATCAGGAAGAACTTTCTGACAGTAAGAGTTGTTCCACAGTGAAACAGTCTCCCTCAGAAGATGGTGGACTCTCCTTCCTTGGAGGTTTTTAAGCAGAGGTTGGATGGCCATCTATCATGGATGCTGTAGTTGAGATTCCTGCATTGCAAGGAGTTGGAGTAGATGACCCTCGCGGTACCTTCCAATTCTACAATTTTATGATTCTGTGATCTGTTTTCTATACCAACTAAATTTCCTTGGCTTAAATTGTGCAAACTAAGCACACCTGCATGATTCCTCTTAACTTTATTCCATGATTGTTGCAAATGAAACCTGCATTTCTCAGGAAGCTGGGTTCTGCACCCAGTTCTGTGCTTTCCACTGCCAGCCCATGAAGCCATTATGCATCAAGCACTGTATAGGAGTTCCTGTGATGCTAATAATAATAATAATAATCTAATATTATTTATACGCCGCCCATCTGGCTGAGTTTCCCCAGCCACTCAGGGTGGCTTCCAACAAAATATTAAAATACAGTAGTCCGTCAAACATTTTTAAAAAAATAAATATTATTTATACTCAGTTAAAGGGAGCTGTACTTGATCATTGCCCTTCATGATCTTGTACAGTGGTACCTGGGGTTCCATATGCTTCAGGTTACATACGCTTCAGGTTACACACTCCGCTAACCTAGAAATAGTGCTTCAGGTTAAGAACTTTGCTTCAGGATAAGAACAGAAATCGGGCTCCGGCGGCGTGGTGACAGCAGGAGGCCCCATTAGCTAAAGTGGTGCTTCAGGTTAAGAACAGTTTCAGGTTAAGAACGGACCTCCGGAACGAATTAAGTACTTAACCCGAGGTACCACTGTATAGTATAGAGAGACAGCAAAGATTAGCAACAATGGCCACTCTTTTTTCTTTTTTCTTTTGTCGAGTGCTAGTGTTCCTGAGCTCCCACTCCAGTGAAGAGCATCAGATAACAGTCTTAACAACAACAAAAAAGTCCAGGAATTGAGTTTGGGAGAAGCCCAGAGGATTTCAAGAAAGCAGGGCGCATTGTGCTTTTGAGCACAGCAATTGGAAAGTTCAGATGGTGAGATAGCATTTCTCCTGCTGTTGAGCGTTGTGTAGTTTAACTGAGAAGAATTTAATTTCCACAAGTATTTCTGTTATCCAGGCCTACACTGGACAACAGCCACCTTTGCTGAGCAAGGACCAGTTTTGAGCACTGCAGTAAAGTAGCACACCTCTGAAAATATCCTGCACCTAAATAGGAAGCTCTGGAAGCGGAAGAGAGGAGCAAAAAGTACACATCACTTTCCCTTTGATGTTTTCCATGGCACCCAAATATGGCATCCATTTGGGTAGGTGCACCATGTCTCTTGCTCCTCTCATTGGTGAAGGCCATGACGTAATGGTAGAGCAAACCTTTTGCATTTAGAAGGCCCAAGACTCAGAGTATGGCATTTCCAGGCAGACCTGGAAAGAATCCTGATTGAAGAGGCATTACCAGTCAGCGCAGACAATAATAAGCAGGATGGACTCAGTGTGGGCGTTCTTATGTACTGTCTAGCCCAAACCTTTAGCTGTCTTTGTGGCATGGAAGGGAGTTGAATGTAGGATTGACTGGTTCACATCTAATAGCACTCTGTTGTAGGGATCATAGGATTGTAGAGTTAGAAATGGGGGAGAAATTTGCTTTGTCCACTTCTTCCAGCAGACTGACCCTTTCTGAGCTCCCAAAGTCACCAATTGTTCAAAGTGCAGCTTCCAGTTACATCACATATTTCTCCAGATTTTGAAATCCATTTTTGGCACACAACATGTTCTCAAAAATAAGTTCTTTACATAGATGTTTGCACAAAATGCTGTGTTTACTGGTTTTAAGGGAAAAAAAGCACATGAGATGTATACAATGGCACAGCACAGACTGGAATAGGGTGCTAGGGATGGGGAAGAAATATGATTCAGATTGTGCTCAAAAATGAACCAGCCCAATTCACACTTTCCAAAACAATGCAACAACTGAAAACACAGCTGCCCTTCAAAATTCACACTTCTCTGAATTTAGCAGTCCCGTTCCCAGCCAAGGAATGTGTACAAAAATTGCATCTATAAACTGAGTTAGGGAAAATTGCGCTTTAGGCAAAATTACACACAAAAGTGTATATTTTGAAACCAGAAATGGGAACCCATGTCCCTCTATCTGGTAGTTGTAGTCAGACATCATCATCCCTGACCCAACAGGTGAGTCCAACATCTGAAGGGCCAGACAATCCTCATCCCTGCTTTAGATGGTAATCTTCTACACAGCTGCTTGGGATTAAGCCCCACTGTAGTAGGACTTATATGAGAGTGAGTACACGTATAACCACCCAGGTAGTAAGGCTGACTTTCTACCATTAGCAGGGCCTTTTCTTGGGCGACTCAGGAGTTGTGGAATGCTGTCCACTGTCTCTTTGTACCCTGTCAGGTGGTGGTGTGGTTGCTCAAGAGCCAACAGGCAAGACTCCGACCTGTCTTTTCCAAGCTTTATTCTCAGTGCAAACTATTTACAATGAAGAGCGTTGCAAGTTCATGTCTGGCTCAGTCGCTAGCAGAATCTGGGAGTGGCCGGTCGTTGGACCTCCCCCAGCATAACAGTCACGTGACCCCCATCCTTCTCCCCTCTTTGCGCTGAAACCACTGAAAAGAGTGGGCACTGGCAAAGGGGTACTTCCCTCCCCTCCTCTTTGCTCAGGCTTGGTGTTGAGGCTCTCCCTAGCATCTCCTGGGCCCTGCACCCCCTCCCCACTGGAGGCCGGGCTTTCTTCCTCGCCTCTCGCCTCTGAGCTGATGGCAGTTCCCTGACATACCCCTTTCGCCATTAGCGAGAACTGGTTCATCCCATTGGACACTGGGGATTTGGCGAAGATTCTCATTGTTTTCATGTAATTTAAAATGTTTGTTTTATTGTTTTTTACTCTTTTTTGCATGGAAATATTATTATTATTATTATTTAATTCCTGAAGATGACCTGTGACTATTCTCTACTGAATGGCAGTCTAGAAATATGGTATTTATTTAATTTTTAAAATGGTTAGAAATCAGAATTTTGATGTGCATATGTGTGCATGCGCGCGTGTGCACACACAGAGTGTTGTGGCTATTTCACTGTTGCCATTTTTGACCATTGAGGCAGCTTTGTTCTTCACTGGCATCCTTTGGAACGCAGCACACAGGGGCATTTGCGGCATTTTCTCACTCGTCTTCGGAAGTTGCCTGTATACATTTGTTATGATGGGCTGACTAATTGGGTCATATGGACATGAGTGAGCTGCCTGCTGCTGCGAGGGAAGCCTTTGCACTTATCTAAAGCACCCAAATGTAATTTCTAATTTTGACACACAAGCATGCACACACATCCTTATTTTAAGCTTTGCTCCGTTCTGCATCAGATTTGAGCCGCGGTGATTCTGCAGAGCAGAGGAACGCAATGGCATGGAGGAATCTGCCGTATCTTGAGCAAGATCATTGGCCCACCTAGTCTCCTACTGATTGGCAGCGGTTCTTGGGTGTTTCAGGCAGGGGTCTTATCCTAGTCTGACCTGGAGATGCCAAAAATTGAACCTGGGACCCATTGCATGCAAAGCACGAGCTCTGCCATTGAGCTACAACTCAATAAAGAGGGTGGGAGGGATATATATACAGTGCTGTGTTTGGGTGGTCCACAGGGTAGATCAAAAATTTCACTCAGCCTGGAGTCAAGGCAGGAGGGAACGTAGGTCAGCAGGAGTCCATCTAGACAAAACACTTACAGATCTAACACCACTCATATGCCCCTTTCCATTTAAGAGATCTCACTGTGGTCTAAGCCAAGGGACTCCTGCAACATGGAGACCAATTCATGCATAAAGGGGGTTCTAGAAGTTACCTCTGCCCCAGTGCTATTTATTGACCCCATTCACATAGATGCTGGAGATTTAACCTGAGACCTTTTGTATGCAACACATGTGTACTGTCATTGGTCTACAGCCTTTCGCTTCCAGCTGAAGCCCTTGACTGAACACTTTCCAGTCCCAAGTGTGCCAGGTCTCGGTGAGTTATGAACTCTGTGCATTCCCAGCTTGACGCCTTTGCCTCTCAGTAGGTTCTTGGTGAACAATGAGCTTCAGAATATACCACAGTGCAATAGAAATATTAGCTTCTACACCTGCTTTGCAAATGCACACAACACAACGCAGCACACTGTTTAAGATTCTCTGTCCACCATTGCCAGGTGGGAAGGATCTGCTACTCTAGCTTCCCAACAGGTGGGTCATGGTTGCTTACCAAGGGGGAGAGGCAGAGGGGTGTGGAGGTCAGTGCGGTGCAAATGGGTACCAGATTGGCTCCTGTCAATGTGTTTGCCCTGTGCTGATCTCATAGAATCAGAGAAACCTAGAAACGTAGAGGTGGACATGATCCCAAGGGTCATATAGTTCCAATACCCCAGCGCAGCTCTGCATTTCTGTGATTCTGTGAGGTCAGTGCAGCACAAACACATTGGCAGGAGCCAGTCTGGTGTTCTTGCATAGTAGCTTCACCCCACACAATGAGCTGCTTCTGCTGCCTCTCTCCACCCCAGAGTCTTCAGTACCCCTGTATTCCTATGCCTGCCCTCCTTTCAGTTAAGACCTGGTCATTGTTTTTACTTCCATCACTTACTTTCTCCAGTGTAAGGGACGCTGTCATACACACTCTTGCCCCAAAGATTACTGAGTTGCTTATTCAGGACAAGGTGCCGTAGTATGGCACCTAAGGTATGTGAAGCAGTAGAAGACAAATAATAAACCACTAGTAGTCACAAAAATCCATGGCACTTGAATGAATGATATCAGGCATTGCTCATTTGACAACATGCATTTGGACAAATGCCCAGACTTTAGCCTATATGTCACTCATGCTCTGCTGGGTAGTATTTCAAGGATTCCTCTTTCACCCCCAGAGCAAAAACTCTGCTCTGAAATGAGCATTTCACACAATTTTTGCTTTTGGGGAGAAGCCACGCTGCTACTCAGAAATAATCAATGGTTTTTTTTGGGGGGGTGTACATGTGTGATTTGAGCTGTTGGTGCTATCCTGGAGCCACAAACCAAGAAACACAGAATAGATACCCAAGACTTAAGTATGTGCTTCTTTCCTCTAGATTATCAGAGCTTTCATTTCATTTGCAGAAGTAATCTCTGAGTATCTGTCATATATTGCAAGGTTCTGGGGCATGTATTCAGCTGCCCACTCAGTTCAGACAGGGTTCACAAGCAGATTTATTGGATCCTATCACTTTTTTGGGGGGGGGGAGTTATTTGTCCTGTCTTCACGCTTTTTATGATGGAGGACCGCTGTAGCCACCCCCAACGACACGTTCTCAAGATGGAGGGGGGGGGAACAGCTGCAGTCGCCTGCGGTTCCTGCGCAATGTTTGCCATCTTGCCAAAGGTTGCAGGCAGCTTTACCTGCAGCAATTGCATGTTGATTGCCCTCTTAGAAGACAAAGTCCAGCAACTGGAGGAACGTGTAGCTACGCTCCAAAGAATTAGAGAGCTGGAGCTCTTCTTGGAAGCAACAGAGCACACCGTCTGCACCAAGGAGGAGACAGGGGACTCCCCTGAGAAGGAGGCTAGTTCACCAACACAGGAGCCAGATATATGGAGAAACGTGACTCAAAGAAGTAGGAGGCCCAGGGTTCGCTCTGATTGTTTAGAAATACACAATCGCTTTGAGGTCCTCTCCCTAGCATGGAAGACGAAGAGCAGACTCCATTTGAGGATCTCTCCCTCATTGCAGTCGATCAGGTATATGAAGACGAGCAGCAAAGTCAGTCCTCAGGGAATGTGCAGGCGACCTTGGAACGGACAGCTCACGGAAGAACCCCGACCAAACCTAAGAGGAGGCGTGTAGTGGTGATAGGGATTCCCTACTGAGGGAAACAGAAGCAGTGATCTGTGGGCCTGACAAGATGTCTCGGGAAGTGTGCTGTCTCCCCGGAGCTAAGATCCAAGATGTAACTGAATGACTGCAAGGAATCATAAAACCCACTGACAAATACCCCTTCCTCTTGGTTCATGTGGGAACCAATGACACTGCAAGCAATAGCCTCCAGAAGATCAAAAGAGACTACGAGGCTCTGGGCAGGAAATTGAAGCAATTAAATGCACAAATTGTCATCTCATCTGTCCTCCCAGTTGAACGACGTGGCCCAGGGAGAGAGGGCAAAATAGTGGAAGTGAACAGCTGGCTTTGCAAATGGTGTAAACAGGAACGGCCGTCATCTTTGAGAATTCCTGGAGAACAGGCGAAGTCCCGGCAGACTGGAGGAGGGCAAATGTTGTCCCTATTTTCAAAAAGGGGAAAAGAGAGGACCCAAATAATTACCGCCCAGTCAGTCTGACATCAATACCAGGGAAGATTCTGGAGCAGATCATTAAGCAAACAGTCTGTGAGCACCTAGAAAGGAATGTTGTGATCACCAATAGTCAGCATGGATTTCTGAAAAATAAGTCATGTCAGACTAACCTGATCTCGTTTTTTGACAGAATTACAAGCCTGGTAGATGAAGGGAACGCAGTGGATGTAGCCTACCTTGATTTCAGCAAGGCATTTGACAAGGTGCCCCATGATATTCTTGTAAAGAAGCTGGTAAAATGCGGTCTTGACTATGCTACCACTCAGTGGATTTGTAACTGGCTGACTGACCGAACCCAAAGGGTGCTCATCAATGGTTCCTCTTCATCCTGGAGAAGAGTGACTAGTGGGGTGCCACAGGGTTCTGTCTTGGGCCCGGTCTTATTCAACATCTTTATCAACGACTTGGATGATGGACTCAAGGGCATCCTGATCAAATTGGCAGATGACACCAAATTGGGAGGGGTGGCTAACACCCCAGAGGACAGGATCACACTTCAAAACGAACCTTGACAGATTAGAGAACTGGGCAAAAGCAAACAAGATGAATTTTAACAGGGAGAAATGTAAAGTATTGCACTTGGGCAAAAAAAATGAGAGGCACAAATACAAGATGGGCGACACCTGGCTTGAGAGCAGTACATGTGAAAAGGATCTAGGAGTCTTGGTTGACCACAAACTTGACATGAGCCAACAGTGTGACGCGGCAGCTAAAAAAGCCAATGCAAATCTGGGCTGCATCAATAGGAATATAGCATCTAGATCAAGGGAAGTAATAGTGCCACTGTATTCTGCTCTGGTCAGACCTCACCTGGAGTACTGTGTCCAGTTCTGGGCACCACAGTTCAAGAAGGACACTGACAAACTGGAACGTGTCCAGAGGAGGGCAACCAAAATGGTCAAAGGCCTGGAAACGATGCCTTATGAGGAACGGCTAAGGGAGCTGGGCATGTTTAGCCTGGAGAAGAGGAGGTTAAGGGGTGATATGATAGCCATGTTCAAATATATAAAAGGATGTCACATAGAGGAGGGAGAAAGGTTGTTTTCTGCTGCTCTAGAGAAGCGGACACGGAGCAATGGATCCAAACTACAAAAAGAAGATTCTACTTAAACATTAGGAAGAACTTCCTGACAGTAAGAGCTGTTCGACAGTGGAATTTGCTGCCAAGGAGTGTGGTGGAGTCTCCTTCTTTGGAGGTCTTTAAGCAGAGGCTTGACAACCATATGTCAGGAGTGCTCTGATGGTGTTTCCTGCTTGGCAGGGGGTTGGACTCGATGGCCCTTGTGGTCTCTTCCAACTCTATGATTCTATGAATGCACCAAACTTTCCTCCTGCAATGTTGGCTAAGGAAGGTTGCTTGCGGATAGACAGCTGTCATTAGCAAAGTCTGAAGAGTCCTGCTGGATCTGACCAGAGGCCCATCTAGTCCAGCATCCATCTCACAGTGGCCAAACGGATGCCCATGGGAAGCCCTCAAGGAGGACATGGATGTAACAGCCCTCTCTCCACTTGTGAGGGCCAGACAAATTCATGAAAGGCAGGGCTATCAGTGGCTACTAGCAATGATGGATATGTACTTCTTCCACTGTCAAAGGCATCAGGCATCTGAATACCAGTCACAGGTGGACTGGATGGGCCATTGGTCTGATTCAGCAGGTTTGTCTTATGTTCTTATGGCTTGGCTTCCTTTCAGAGTAGAGGAGGCTGGATAATTTATGGTGGTTTTGTAATATCGGTCTTATTTGCAAATATATACATAGAGCCCAAGTGACGTTAAGCAGCACCGGCACTCCTACAAGGCAGGAGTCTACAAGTTCTGGCACCCCAAGTTGCCTTCAGCTTACAGCTCACAACCCAGCCCTCTCTCCGCTTCTCCCTTTCTCAGAGTTCTTCAGTTTTTACGTATTGTTGCACATAGAATCACACAAATCTGCCCCCTCCCTTTAGCTCAGGCTTGAAGAACCTCAAACCTGGAGACCATGTTTCTGTTTTACTTACTATATGTAGGGTTTGGTGTCAGCGTTGCTTGTGCAGGTTCTTTGCTGTTCACTTGAGTTCCTTTGGTGGTGAGAAAGGTTGGGGTTGGCCTAGGATGTGGTTGTTCATTTGTGGTTGGCTGTGGTGGTCTTTGTTTTCATGTGGGAGTGGGGTGGGTCGGTGTTTTGGATCAGGTTAGCCACATTTATTTTTTTGCTGTTGGTGGATTTTTGTCGTCGTCTTGTTGGGCTGTGTATGT